GAAGACAAAACCGACCTCGCAAACATAAAAAAGAATGTGATTAAAAAGAACTATATTAACTGTATGTATGAAATAGTAGTATACTGGCAACATTGTTACTATTTAAAATGATCCAGACCTAAATTATTTGAATTATTATTCCAACTGCTGCTGATTTCTTTCTCAGTGTCATGTTTGGTCTGGTCATGGTTGCTGTGTGAGCGCTGACAGAGTCTTTGTTGTGTGGATTTCTTGGGTGGGTTGTGAACAACTTACAGACTGCCTGATCTGCTCAGCTGATCCTTGATCTCCACTCACCCCCTCAGTACTTTTACTGCTCACTTCCACCTGCTCTCTGCCAGACTGTTGCCTTTCCATCGTTCCTGTAGAGTAAATCAGAACCTGAAAGTGAACCTGAACCTGTTTGCCTGACTCATAATCTTATTACTAATTTAAAATTCCTCCCATCAAATATAGATCAATATAGAACATGGCTACCAAGGAAGAGCAGCATCTTGACATTTACATGCAGGCTGCCAATTTGATCTCAAACTCCTTTTGCTCTTTCTCTGCTTCCTGTCCTGTCCTGTTATCACTGATATTAATCGTATGTGTTGTATTAGGTACAAATCAGTTCAGAAGTGCTCTTCACATTTGGAACTTTAATCAAATTGAGGGTTGAGAAAAATGTGTGTTGGCATGCGTCCAGAATATTAAAACATAAAAACCTTCATTTAAGTGAAAAAGTCCCAGTTTTTACTATAAAAACATTAATGCATGAATGTGTTGCTTGTAAAAAGCTTTGGCCACAAACCTCTGACCCACATGGACGAGCTCCAATCTCGTTACAGCCATGAAAGCTGCCAGCTCGTCTGGTCACAGAGTGAAGAGTCACGCCTTCATGCCAGACCAAAGAACAAAGTGACAAACGGGGAACTGCTGATTAGTACATAGCATGAATCACCTGAGAGGTTCCAGGTTTTGCACTGCACTTGTTCCTACTTTCTGCATTCCAGCCCTGCAGATCAAATTTGGGAAGAAACAAAGTGTTTAAGATAACTGCCTCAAGAAAAAATAAATAAAAAGAACACTAAAGACATATATGCAGTCTAAATGCTCCACAATAGTTCCTGCTTTTCATGTGGTTCATCCACCCACCCATCCATTTTCTTCTGCTTACCCAACTGAGGTTCGTGGGGGAGCTGAAGCCCATCTCAGCTATCATAGCGCAAGAGACTTGGCACATCCGGGAGGCATCTGGAGAGAAACAACATGGAAACGGGAGAACATGCAAACAGCATGTCTAAGGGGTCACCACAGTGGATGGATCTGCACATGTGATTTGGCACAGATTTTTATGCTGGATGCCCTTCCTGTACTCCCGGCACTGGGAGCACACCAGCTTGTGACCCCTTGAGGCTGGATTGGAGACTGTGTCATTTCAATAACTTAACAGTATAAATATAAAGTTGGGGGAGTGAGGGTGATTCTTGGATGTACAGGTTGCAGTTTGTGACAGATTTGCTCCTTAATACACTTGCAAACTATTGCTTCCAACAGTTGCCTGTAGCACTCAAAAACTAGAAATTTGGGGACATTTCTGGATACAATGCTCCTCCTTTCAATTTGAATGTGATTCTAATTTACAGAAAGTAGGAGGTTCTTATTGCCACACTTGTCATTTTAAATTACAGAGAAAATCGTGAAGGCAAATACAGATTGTGGAAGAAGTAGGCAGCAGTTTGACTGACAGTGGCTCAGGTATATGATCTTGCAGCAGTGAGAATCGTTCATATTTTTGTTGCATATATCAAATAAATTGATGCAGCAGACACTTTCAGGTTTGCCCTTCAGTGCCAAATGTATCATATTGCATATGCTGGTCTTTGTCCATGCTTCAGGGCATTTAGAGGCTAAATTGTGTTGCATTGTCAGGTTCACTGCACACTAGCAGTTAGCAGTTTACATCTGTAGATTCAGCAATAATATATTCTTAATGAGAACACAAAACAAGGTGTACTCTGTACACTGCACAGACTGTCTGTGAGTGTAACCCTGTAAAATAGACAGTAGAGGATATTTTTGCTCCACGTAACTATAAATACACTCTGAGCTTAGCTGAGCTTAACAAATGCAAAACCAAAAAAATTTGTAAGACGTAATTCAGAAAGGGGCTTTTATTTCATTAACAACACCTGAAACAGTCGCCCGATGCTGATGCTGATGATGCTGATGCTGATGATGCTGATGATGCAGCTGCGCCTGCGTCAAGCCCCCTCTGAGCTGCAACTGGCAGCTATGAAAAGCAACTTAAGGTGCACTCAGCTGCACTTGAAAAAGCAGTTTAAGGCGAACTGGAAGCCACACTGACAAAGCTTAAGACAATTAACATCATTAAGACTTAATTATCTTACATGGCAGTCTTTAAACAGCTCACATTTGCCTTTTACGAGTAACACAGTTTTGTTTGTTTCTATTATTTACTTAAAATAACAGATTTTTTGGAGAAATATTTTATTATCTAGTGCTTTCTTTTTCTTTTTCTAATTCTCTTTGAATGCTTGAATGTTAAAAAATACTTGACTGTCAAAAAGACCTTGAATATTTTGCCCAGTGGCACTTTAAAGGAGTTCTAGCTCAAAAAGTTTGAAGACTTTCCCCTAATGTTCATGTAAATTCATGGATTTTTTTTAACGCATCAAGGCTTTGAAAATTATTTGAATTTTAGTATCATTTATTGCTGCAGGTAAAGTTAGTAGTTTTACCTGCTGAGGTTTTGTCCATTTTATTTTTACTACTTTCATTTATTCATTCATATTCACAGTGACTAACCCATACTCTGCTTCTGATGAGATCAGTTTTGTTGCAGACTAAACCTCTGGTGGTCAAATAGCCGTGTCTCTGCTGCAGGCCCTCTTTTTAATGAACTGGCCAAAGGCTTTGGACTGATGTTGGTTATGTTTATGCCTCATTACACGAGGCACTGTCCCTTTTGTCTGCTCACAGTTCAGAGGCTCGAACAGTTAATTGATGCAGTGACACAAAAGCACATTAGTATCCGGAGGCCTCACACATACTGTCACTGGCACCAACAAAAAGCACCAGACACACGCAAGCAGCAAAATGTTGCACTGTAAGGTCGCACTGAGAAGCTTAAATGCTACTCAGAATACAGTGTAATTAAGTAACAAGTAGACACGCTTAAGTCATTTTAAAAACTATTTCTGTCTTCCATGAGCACAGATAAAACCCTGACACAACATCCTATTAACAGAATTTCTAATGTGTGAAATATACCAGTCACTTAGGAATACCCGTTTAACCGCCCATTAACACAAATATCTAATCAGCCAATCACATGGCAGGATTTCCTTGCATTCAGGCATATAGATATGGTCAAGTTGCTGCTAAAGTTCAAACTGAGCATCAGAATAGAGAAGAAAGGGAATAACCGACTTTTACAGAGGTTTTACAGACTGGACCAAAACAAAGAAATACCCAGTGAGTGGCAGTAAATGAATTTTATTATGAATTAAAGTTAAAATTACAAGTAAAGGAGGTATAGAGAGAGTGTGTGTAACCATAACTGTATTTAAAAAACAACAACAAATTAACCATTTTACTGTTGTTGTTCATGTGTTATTAATAAAAGTTTCACTAACCAATTTGTCATGCAGCATGTCATGGTAATGGATGTAAGGTGAAACTTCTAGATCATATAGAAAGAAAGAAAGAAAGAAAGAAAGAGGAACTGAGGCAGGCTCTCTTAAATACCTGACGCAACCTACCTGTGCAGTGTTCAGTGTGCTCTTGTTTTACAGGTGAAGCATTATCATATAAATAATAGATTTCATTTACATATCTTTGTTACTTCGTGCCACAATGTGTATGAAGTTACGTGATAAATAGAAGGTGTCAGACTGCAGCTGTCAGACTGTACAATCAAAACTGCTCCCAACAAACATAGATGTTTACATCAATCACAACTTCTACTGTTATAACTGCACATTACTTATATATAGCTTATATATACACTAACTTATTGGAAGTTACATGTCTACTTTTTAATGCACAGGTACAATACACAGTCTGCACTTTTCTATCTTTTCTAATTATTCTAAATATTCTTAACTATTTAAACATCTTTCAGTATCCTGCTCTGTTTGCACACTATCTGCACTTACAATTTTAACAACTGTACTGCGCTCTGCTCTGGTAACTATTGTCCATGATGTAAATATGTAAAAATTGTGTTTTCTGTTCTGTGTCCTGTTCTTTTTTGTATATGTGTGTTTTTTTGCTGCTGATACAACCAAATTTCCCCTTGTGGGACAATTAAAGGATTATTCTATTCAATTCTCTATTCTAAAAGCTATTCGTGGTATTTGTTAACCTAAACTGTTGCACCACACTGTATTTCCTCTTGTTTGACCAATAATAGGATACCATCCCATTCTGGACGAAAGACCCAATAACGCATAACTGTTAATTCCACCCATCCATCCTTTCTCTTCTGCTTATCCAGTTCAGATTTGTGTGTTAATATTTATAAATAAAATTAATATTAATCTGTAAAAAATGTAAAAAGCAAACTAATTTGTTTGCACACGTGCGTTTTAGTTTTTATCTGCAGTTAGTAAGCACGGCCAACTTGATGCTGATCGGTTAACCTAACACGACCTTTGCTGCAGTGTTCATTTATCAAACCTTTCTCTGCACTGGTGAAGAAAAAACAAAAGACTGCTTCTGCGAATAAGTAGGTCTGGTTGCCATGGAAACAGTATATTCAGTTACGCTCCTCGTCTTCAATTTTTTGCTCACAATTTGTCCCTGAAGCCGGTTTTGTTTTATTTATTTATTTATTTTTATTTTTAAAACAATTTGAGTTAATAACTGTGGATTTTACCGTTTTATACCCTGCAAAGGAATCAGACCAGAGTCTGTGGTTATTGTACTGCTGTGTGCAAAATCCTAAATTAAACCTTCTGTGTTAATATGAGCTAAGACACAAAGACACGTAGTTAGTGGAAAATATTCTCATTTATTGAGTTCATTAAAAATATTTCCATCTACTGAGAAAATATAGGATTTATCTAATTCACTCAGGCGGGTTGTGAATTATAGACTTTCTCATGATAATAATGAAAAAAAAAAGCACAAACACATGAACACAAGGGAAATTTGCTAATACACAAAATAGACTGTGCAATGTTAATCAGCAGCTTTGGGGAGCAGAGGTGGTAGATGAGTTAAGAAGAGCAGTCCAAAGATATCACAGATATCAAACTGTCTTTTATTCATTTTTATATTATTTTTTCTCTGCATGGGTTATTGGAGATGAAAGTGAGGGGTTCAGGAGATGAAGAGAAGCTGGGGATTAGGAAAAGTAGGAAAGGACGATGGAGCATTGGTGGAAAAGTGGGGGGAGGGTTGGGTGAATAAAGTGCATGAGACAAAAGAGTGTGAGGGGGTTTGTTTTCAGGTCAAACCTCTAAAACATCAAAAGCTGCCTCCTCTGTGCAGGTCATAGAGTTCTAGCTGCTTAATTGACAGTAGGACCACATGAGGGGTAAACAGGGGGGAAAAAAGAAGAAAAACAGCTAAATGCTGCAATGTTTTTGCTAGCTGATCAGTTTGTGTGCAATTTTTCTCAAATTACATGAGGGACAATGAATGTGAGGATGGGTATTTTGGGAAGGAGAAGGAAAGCTGGGCTGTGAGGTGAGAGACAGGAGGACTCGGTCTAGGAAAACAGTTGAGGTTTCTAGACGATTCCATATTTCGCCAGGTCGCTAAGCTCCATGTCCCCAAAGGCTTCCCATGGGCAGACCACGGTGAAGTCTGTGCCGAGACCGTCCATGCCGGGGATGTCGTCTCCAAATCTAATTGGAAGAAACAACAAGCTTTGATGAGCAAAACCAGCAGAAAGAAAGACAAAGTTATGGAAGAAAAGCTGCACGTGTGATGTTAAAAACAAAATAAAGAAAGCATCTCACCCCTTCTGGCCCGGTTTGGGCGCCTTGCTCTTGAAGGTGCGTGTGGTCCTCTGCTTAAATTTGGGAGGTGCTTTCTTGTCAGCGGGAGTTGCGACGTCTGCCATTGTGTTTGGTTCCTGAAAGAGAAAACAGGTTAAAAAATAACATTAATATATTGATTTCCTGCAAAGATACCACTAACAATTCAGATTTATTGGAGGAGAACTTGTAATTTCTTTTTCTCAGCATGTGTTTCGCTTATTCTTCTATCTTTGTGAATCACTTTCTGTGGGTTTCTTTTTTTATGCTGTTTCTTCATGCCTTTTATTGTCTTACATAAACCAGTTCCAGTGCCTTGGTGCTAAAGGTTGTTATAGAAATAAAACTGAATTTGCCTTTTTTCTTTGTTCGGCTACATCAATCAATAGTCTCCTCTTTACAGAGGAGTCATTGCATATCCCTTCTGGAAACACTTATATTTCACACTCAGGCTTGCAAACAACCAAGCAAATCACTAAATTATGAGTGCATTAACCATTGAAAATAAAATCCTCAACCAGCGAGGTTACCCAAATCCAATAAAAGAGAAGAAACAGAAATCCCAACAGTGCCTTGAGCAGTATTTACAAAAAGGCCATCACAAAGCATTGCTTCTTATGAAATGTCTCATTTCAACTCCATTTCAGGCGTGATACTCAGGAATGAAAAGAAAAGCTGTAAAGCCAGTGCTCTGTTTTTCTCTGCTGTGAGGATGTAGTTACAAAAGCAGAAAAGAATCTGAGGTAATACAAAGCAATAATAGCCTAAACTCCTCGCACAAGAGCTGACAAAATTGCAGTTTCATCTCACCTTTTGTTCAAAGTCTCAAAGAGTTTTTCTGATGCTGTCTGGCGAGTCTGTCGTTTTCTCACTTGTGGTGTCTCTCTCTGACTGACGACCCGTTTTTAAAGTCCTCCGAGCTGCTAATCCACTCAGATGTTCGCTCTGTGATGTGCCAGCTCTGCCCTATTCTGAACCAGCTCAGCCACAAATAGAGGAGATAAAGGATAGTGAGATATAAATACAAGGTGTATTTCAAGATAGACATGCCTTTAAATGTGCAAACTGAAGTAAACTACAGAGGAGTCATTCACGGGCAGCAGTGGGCGACAGTGATTAACACACAAATCTAAATATGGAGAAAGATACCTGTCTATCTAACTGCCATAGCTACATTATCAATCAATCATCCATCGATCACCACATGCATCAGTTTCTACCTGAATCATGCAATCATTTACAGAATATTCACTGCCACTTCATTAGGCACACTTATTTAACTGCTTGCTAACACGGATATCTAATTAGTAAATCACGTGGCAGCAACTCTGTGATTTTATTCACGTCGATGCAATCAAGATGATCTGATGAAGTTCAAATCGAGCATAAGAATGAGGAAGAAAAGTGATTTAAGTAACTTTGGATTTTGGCATGGCTTTTGGTGCCAGATGGGCTGGTCTGAGTATTGGTATTGCAAACTGGTAGGAATTTCCCACACAGACGTCTTTAGGGTTTACCGTGAATGGCCTGAAAAAGAGGAAATATTCAGTGGGCAGTTCTTCGGGTAAACCAAAACATTCCTTGCTGATGCCAGAGGTTGGAGGAAAATTTGCCAGACTGCTTCAAGTTGACATGAACGCAAGAGTGACTTAAATAAGCACTTGTTACAACCAGGGCGCGCAGAAGAGCATCTCTGAACAGACAGCAGGTCAAACCTTGAGGCAGATGGGCTACAGCAGCAGACGACCTCACCACTGTACATATCTTGCGATGGCTGCTTCACATGCAGGATGACGCCTCATGTCACAAAGTTCAAAACATCTCAAAGAGGCTCTGTGATCGTCAAAAGGCTGCGATGCTGAACAAAAAAGAAAATATGGAAATTAGATTGTGACAGTTAAGAAAATTATTTATAAATTTTGATTGTGTTTCATTCTGTCAGTCCTGAAAATTTCAACTTGTTCTCACCTGTACTTCAAGTACAGGTGAATTATGTTATATTTATGAGGGTAAAATTTTGCTCCCCTTCACTGACTTCACTGTACTGAAGGGGTAACCATCGTTTCTTCTGCCATTGTTTACCCAAATTGGAGAAGTTTAATTTTTACACCTCTTCATGGACTGGAGATAATATTTGTAAACAAACGTGCCCTGATATAGCTTCAAGAAAACCTGGAGCACCACGAGATGTAAGAGCAGAGGTGCCCTGAACTCTTTTCAGGTGATGAATCAGATGCTGACAAATAAAGAACACTTAGCTATTCAGCTTTTAATCCTTCAACACATGGCATGAACTGTGCCTAGGTACAGTATGTAGACCTTTAAATGAATGATTACCAATGTGACATGGTCTGCAGGTAGTAACACACTAATGCTGTCTTTGCAGTTAATGTAAGTCAATAAAAAGAAAGGAAGAGAGAAAATCTGAGCTTTAAGGCTACTGTACAGCTTTCCTGAGGCTTTCCTAAATTTAATTATCTGATTAATACTGGAAGAAGTGCCTAAAAGCTCTGGAAAGGACTAGATTTTTATTTCTTTTTTTGGTCAAATTTATTGTTTGTTTGCTTTTTCAAATTTAGAATGATCACGATCAGCTGATTATGATTTCAAGCTCAACTGTTATGTAGATTAACAAGAAGTTATTTGGTAAAATGCATCTACCAGAAAATATTCCTCTATTGACAGTCAGGTTAATATCATTGAATGAACCTCTTAGTTTCTCTTCTCTGTTGTGCTTCATTATATAAGGCACATATGTCTTTACATAGCAAGACGCATTAGGGTGAACATATGAGGCCACTCCCTAAGCTAATCAAGGGAAAAATCGAGACCGTGGTGTAAAAAAATAGGACAGAAAAGCTATGGATAAGCATGTTAGAGGGATTACAGGGGAGAGTATATAAGCAGGGAGCAAGCCATAGACTACAACAACACAAACAGAACAGAGAGGCGTAATCCAGAAGCCGCCCGTGCTACTGCAACAACAGGTAAGATCTAACTCTGACTTTCACTCAGCTGTGAGCTTTGGTTGACTTTCCATTCTGCAGTGAAGATTACTCAGAGAAGAAATAAAGAGTAAGAGTCACTTAAGAACTTTATTTTGGGGATATATTTTACACATTAAAAAAAAAAAATAAAACCAAAAAAACATTTCAAGCTTTATAGTTTAAAGTTAGTGCACTGTATGTCTTCTTTACATCATTTTTTTTCTTCTTTATGCTTTCAATTTTGTAAATGCTGTTTAGAAAAGCATTTAAAAAGTCTTTATAAGTTTTTTAATTGTGTAAGACAGCCAAGGGAGGCTTATTTGTGGGGGGTTTGCAAATAATGTCAAAATTAACAGAAACTGCGAAAAATATTGCCCCCCTGATACAAAAAAACAAAAACCTTCAAGTAAACCTTCAAAAGGAAAAATTACTTTACACTGGCATCATTTTAACTCTTTTATTTGTCTTATTATTTCAGCATGTTATAACACCTGTCACGATAGCCTTATTCAATTTGTATTAAAATTTTATGGAAAACCAAATAAAAAATATTCATTAATTAGTTTCTTTAAAATGATTAATTGATTTATCTAGTTGTGTTTTTGTACACAATTGCAATGTTATATATATATATGTATGTATATATAAACATACACATATATATATATATAAAGCAGCAAGGTGTTGTAACTACATTATAAAAAGTTGAATAAAGGAGTGATACTTAGGAGTTAATCTGCTTGCTGTTACAAAAGTCCATCAGTGAGGTCAAAGCACATTTGTAATCAGGAGCACTGATGAGCTTAACTATGACACAGTCAACTGAGCCCAGAAAAGACCAGATTAAAGTAGACTGAAATTGTTGTTCAGGTCAAATCCCCTTATACCCGAGCTTATTATTTACACCATGCAGTGCGCAGGTTAACCTTCAGTCTAACAGCAGAATTAGCAGAAATCCTGCTCTCAAAATATATGCCGTGTTAACTTGACCACACATGAACTCAAAAGTCAAGGTGTAAAAATAGCCACTGATGGTGTAACAAAGCTTAAGGTGCTATGGTAGCTTTGGTTTATAATTTGATCTAAGCTGCAAGTGTTATATCATCAAAGAAGTGGCAGCTTAAGAGGACGATGACGAATGGTTTTAAACACCAAGATTAAGTGATTAACTGTTCATTCTTTTTCTCTCAGATCATAAAAGATGGCAGACGCACCTGCACCTGCTGACAAGAAGGCACCTCCCAAGTTCAAACAGAGGACAACCCGCACCTTCAAGAGCAAGGCCCCCAAACCAGGCCAGAAGGGGTGAGAGGAAGACACGGCACAACATTTCTAATACTTCACGCTCCAACCACACTAAATATTAAAGCTAGCGCATGACAGTTAGGAGATAGTAGTCCATTTTAGCTTGAGGGATGACATTTAAAAATCATATTGCCACATCCTATAATAGAACAGTGTTGAAGACTAAACCAGTGACTCGTGAATATTTAATTTCACGGGTATTCGGATCAAACTTGTGATCGATTGGATTATTTTTGCTAAACTAGTTTCAAAACAGTTACATTGACTGTTGGACTAACATTTGCAACACAATACTCAAACAATCACAGGGGATAGTTTTTCAATCACAGAACTCTTCTGCTTTCTTTGACACATGAAATCCTTGCTCGAGTATAGTCTTTGCATAGTACAGAGCATGGACGCCAAGCTCAATTTACATCGTGGGCCATGTACACCCCACTTTGATCTTAAGTGTCTAAGGAAGTTTAACTACCCATTCTAAAACTCAGAAATCTCTATTGTAGATAATAAAATATACTAATAGTTTCTATATTACTTCATTACTTTGGTATAATATGGGGGAGGTGTGTATCAGTGGGAAAAGGTGTAAGTCTTATGAAAATACAGTTAAAAGTCCAAATCTAACCCCTCCTTCATATTTTTCGATGGCATCCAGCGGGCTGGACTGGAGTCTTTCCCAGGCCTTGTGTTTGACACACCTGATATAGAGTACTCATTAAACGATACACAGTGAATGCAGGTCAAGAGTTAAGACATGCTTTTGTTGCTTTTTTTAGATTCGGAGACGTGCTTTTGTTGCTTTTTGTTGCTTTTTGTTGCAACATGCTTTTGTTGCTTTTTTTAGATTCGGAGACGACATCCCCGGCATGGACGGTCTCGGTACAGACTTCACAGTGGTCTGCCCATGGGAAGCCTTTGGGGACATGGAGCTCAGCGACCTGGCGAAATATGGAATCGTCTAGAAACCCTCCCGTGCCCTTACCTCAATTATAAACCTCCCTGCACTAATTTTCCTCTACTCAGTCCTCTTATCTTCCACTTCACAGCCCAGGAGGCTTTCCCCTCCCCAAATCCCGACTTGAAGTTTATTGCGGTTGTTACACCCATATGTAGTTTGGGAAAAAATTACACAAAAACTGATAAGCTTCTATCCTCAAGGTTGATCCAATTATGTGTCAAAGCTATCATATATTACATTAAATAGCTCTATGTACATTTATTTATTTATATATGCTTCACTGAGGTGTCCGTGTGTCA